AATTCAAAGTACTTAATGAATATATTGAACAATTTGGTTTCATATATGGCATTAATCATATCCGAAGTATATCCGAATGTTTATATAGTAACCAGAAGCATGTTCACAGTTTCAGTCAGTACAGCGTGTGCGGAAAGAAACTTCTCAAACTTAAAATTGATTAAGACTAACTTGAAAAATATGATGATCCAAGACAGACTATCTCTCTCTCGAAGGAGACAATTTATTTTTGTTGTAACTTTTAATTAACTTGTCGGTAAAAAAATGGTTTACGATTTGAAGTCGCTTTATACACATAGAAGCTTACGAAAAAGGCATTTAACCTATTTACGAGCTGAGAGATCTTTAACAATGTAAGAGTTGGCCAACTTCAATAAAAGATTTTATTTTTCTGCTGGTGGTAATCTGATAAATAATTTTTTTTTTATATTGACTATCCTAAATATTGACCCTAAATAAATATGTTATTTTTTGTCTTTTTTTAAACGTAATTATGCACTATAGATTTTTTGGAGACAAATTCTGAGGTTTAAAAGTCATTTTGTACAGAAAAAATAATTACATTTTTATATACACTATTAATATAGATTCAACCAGAATATAAGGTAACTATAAAAAAGTAAAATATATGAAACCATAATTTAGTAATAACAATTATTACAAGGTTTTAGAAACATAATCTACTAAAAATAACTTTAAAATTTTCAATACCCACATCTGTAATATACTTTTGGCATTGCAATTGACAATTTCCATACATAGGAATTCATTATTTTAATTGGATCATCTTTAATTCCATATATAAGAAAATTTCTACAGATAATACTGATTAAATTCACTCAAAAGTAGTGGAGGAAAGAATTAATTTCTTGCCATATTTCCTAGCTCTGCAACTTAATGCAGTTCAATTCCGAAAGTGGAAAAACAAAAAAAAATAATTTATTGCAAATGGGAAATTGAAAGTTTTTCATTGTCTATAATGTGAATTGTACTGCAAGTAAAATGTAATTAAAATGCTCCAAAACAAGTTGCAGTAATTTTTATTTTTCATTCAATTTAACAAATTTAACAAATTAGTTGAAATATTTTCCTTCTACGGCATCCGCAATGGATACTGTGAATGCTAACTCACAGCTTTGCAGGTTTGCAGGTTTCCTACAAATTCACATACAAACTTCACACCGGCGAGTCTTTATCATTTGCTTTCAATTAGAAATCTACTAATTTCTCTTGATTTATATTTTCCGAATTCCCTTTCTTAAGATACTTTGTTTCTTTTCAATAGAGCTGAGTAAAAAATGTGCTTTAAAATGTTGACCACTAAACAATTCTAAACTATTTACTCAGAAGAATCAATAATGAATTTGTTACCTGGGGCACGTTTGACACTAAAACTAAAAATTAAATAAAACAATGAAAATATTGTATTTGCGTAAATCTAAACAACTTTAGGTCGTAAAAACAAATTTGAAGTGAATAACTTTCCATAATAAAAAATAGAACGCTATCACTGTTATACCATACTTTAATAAAAAAGTGTGATGGTATAATTAGCTTGAGGTCTCAGCAGGTCTCTGCGTATAATATACGACAAAAATATGATAACTATTAAATTTGAAACATAAGTAAAATTAAGTAAAACAGTTTATATGTGAGAGAACATTATTGAGACGACTGTTTCCAATGGTGGAGCAGTTCAATCATAGATACCATAGAAGAGATGAACAATTACTCTGTAGCCTTTTTAAATATCCAGCAAATCAACGAAATAGTACGACCGCCTGACATCTTTTCTCCTTGATAAACATCTCAAAATCTTAACTGTTGCTAATAGTGTAGCTGTTATAGTGAAGAGATTTACCAAGTGGAACGTAGGTTTCTTAAACAGTAAATTAAAATAAATTAAGCCAATTCAGTTTACGTTAAATTTGAGGCAACCGACAAGATAATCCTGCGATGTTCCTTAATAAATTATCTATTCTTAAAGAATATTATGTAAACTTCAGTGCCATATATTAAATTGTCGTTTCAGTTAGACAGCAGAAATATCAAAACTAAATAAATATAATGGCTACCTGTACACATATATCACCGCATTCCTAGAAATTTCAAAGAACTCCAATATAGATGTCAGTCAAAATCACTTGCGAGAGCTTGTAACAGTGTAGGTGCTTATATTTAGAATAGCTAATACCTAAACCGAGTGTTATTAGACATACAACTAAGATTTAGTATTCAAAACTTTTGTAATTTTATTCTTATATAAGTTTTCTGTGGTTTGTTGTACTTTGAAGTAAACATTAAGTATCTCATACAGTTATACCTTTAACCGCGTGTTGTCAAATCTTGTCGCATAAAAAATAATATTTACACAAATAAATTCGTCTTCTTTGGTGCCGTAACCGAAATTAGCATTCAATTTATATTCGCCACTGCCATTTTTGTCAACAATGTCGTTTGCAATAAGATCAGTAAAAAGGTCGAAGTTAAGGGAATACTATAATCAGATCAATGTTTTAACTATACTCAAAGACAACTAAATTATATATAAAATGCACTCACATTTTTTGGAAATGGACATTGACGTCTTTTGATAGATAATTGCTGCACCATTTTACTCCAGTATTCGCCTGGTGTAAACAAAGCAGTACACAAATCTGGTCGAGCGAAGTTGTAAATTGTGTTTACCCATTGCCCTCGGGATTTCTTGTAAATCTGCCCATAAACCTATTAAAGTTTCATATCGTTCATTATACTCGTATATATGTAAAGGAGTACAACTAAGAAATTGAAATACTTTACCTTGATGGGTGTATTCTTCGGCAATTCCGCGGTCATTTTTGCTTTACCTTTAACGTGTATTGTATCATTGTTCATTCTTATAAATTTCAAGTCCTTTATATCCGCAATCTTATCCAAAAAGTTTTTGGGATAATTTTTACATTTGCTTAAGATATCTTCATCTTTGAATTCTATTTTATAGCTGTAGGTCTACAAAATTCTGTATTATTTCTTAATATTTGGCTTTTATTTTAAATTTCTTACTTCCACACTTAAAAGAGTTGCTCCGTGATGTATGATACATACTAGAAGGTAAAATATTACCTGCCTCATTTCAGAAAATTCTAAATTTTGTCATGGCATGCATTGTGCTTTATATAGATTACAAACAGACAATTAAGAATAATTTACGTGCTGTAATTGAACATTTAACATATAACAAAAGTAGGAAATGTTAACATGAACGGAATAAATACAAATCGAGATTAGAATCTTATGCTGATGCGCATCTGAGCTTTGACAATCACACCAACCGACGGTGAGAATTAAACTACTTTTTAAGGAAACAAAAAGCAATAAATGACACTTTAATTCAATCAATATTAATGTGAAACAAATAAACGGTGAGACGGTGAGAATTAACGGTGAGAATTAAACTACTTTTTAAGGAAACAAAAAGCAATAAATGACACTTTAATTCAATCAATATTAATGTGAAACAAATAAATTTTGAATTATATAACTTATCACTGTTACATTTCTTGTCTGGATTTATTCAAAAATTCAAAGCTATATCTATTTTATATACCGTAAACCTAATTGCCTATCAGATATTGTAGTTCATAAGAATCTATTTCGTTAATATTATATAAAATCAATAATACCTCAAAATCATTGTTGGATTGGTTGTGTTCTGTAATAACAACTACAAAATTTGTTTCATCAACAAAATAGTTGATAGTGACAATAATTTCTCATGAAGAGGAAATACATTGATCATGCATTAAGGACTTAAATACTCAATAATATAATCAAAGTTAATATGAGTTGTACCTTCTGCTCAAAAAGTATCCGGAGTTTGTTGTTTATTAACTACACCTTAAGTTATACATCTTTTGTTATGTTGGTACACCCTTTCTTGACATATGGTACGAATTTGAGCGCCATCTGTCAATTAGTTTGTTTACATCAGCTGTTAATGTGAGACTACCTCAAGTGCATTTAGCAATTTTTACTATGGGAAATTCTTGTTGTACGCGATTTTTTGACCAAACACGGCACCACTGTCATCGCTCAGGCACCATATTCGCCAGATCTGGTGCCGTGCGACTTTTTCCTGTTTCCGAAACTCAAATTGCCCCTTCGTGGTAAGCGTTTTGAGTCGACTGAATCAGTAAAAGAGAATTCGCTGAAGAAACTAAAAGCCATACCAGCACGAGCCTACGAAAAGTGTATGGAAGATTGGGTTAAGCGTTGACATATGTGTATCGCTTCAGAAGAAGCATATTTTGAAGAAGATAAAATAAACTTGGAATAAAATTTAAATTTGTGTGTTTTATTTACAAAATCCGGGTACTTTTTGAGCAGAAGGTAGTATTTATTTATAATATTAATTTTAATTTAACGTACGATATGAACTATTATTATTTAATTTTAAAAAATAATTTTCGGGTGAATATTCTTTGAATCACATCCAACTTACCTGTGACTAAAACTACACTGTAACCAAAGACATTATGCAAACAGATCAGAGGGTCTGGCAGTAGATATAATCCTATACCAGGAATTCAAAGCCGGAGTATAATTTAATTATCTTCAATATAATGGCATAGCGTCATTGAGAGTAAAGAAAATCGACACGTGGAAGTAATGGAAAAAATTGCGTTGAATAATCGATTCTACCAAAATCACTTGTCAAATCGTAGCGTCTAGAAAACTGTAACCGTAACTTTATATTGTACATCCGGTTAGTAAACTATTTTAGAGAATACTAAGTTATGGCGATATCACAATTTTTAACAATTTCTCTCCAGCTTAGTATTTTTCCCAATGCACTGAAATGCAACACAACATGACCAACAAAAACCTGTTTACGCTTTACTGGAGCGTTGCCTAGCAGCGAATGTAAACAGAATGAACCCATAAACAATTCTCAGTAAACGCTTGGAAAGCGAGCCGTACGCATCATGTCCACTCGGTGAAGAAGTGAAAGTAAAATTCATATTTTTAAAGTAAAAACAAATTATTTAATTCCAACAAAAATGAATTAATGGGTTTATCACTGTGCAAGTGGAAATGCTGTTGTTGTTGTCAGCGGAACTCCAATAGAATTACTAGGTATTTATTCTAAAATATACTATGTAAAATGTAAAATATGTAAAATTTATGAAAAATGTGATTTTGACTAGTGCGCCAAAAGAAAAGTTAATAAAAGTTGTGCTGCTCGGTTTGGAGGGCAGCGGTAAAACCGAAATAGGGTGTGCATTAGCTGGTACACAGCGCTTAGGTGACGACTCGACCAATGGGGTCCAATACTTTCGAATGAAATTGCCAAGTGTTCAAGTGTCAATTACTGAAATAGGAGGCAACAAAGAAATGCAGAAGATTTGGCATCACTACTTCGATACGGTAGATTGAAAAGAAACAATCAATTTTTGCATGTTTTAAGAGATCTAATCAATTTCAGGCAATGGGTTTCATTTTTTGTTTTGACATGTCCGCAACTTATGAAGAACTTAAAGACTCCTTCGAGGTGCTGCAGAAGACTTTCGCACATCCCTTTGTAAGTGGCAAACCATTTCTATTAATTGCTACCAAAGCTGACTTGGCAGATCAGAGCGTGCAGCTGTATGACATAGAGAACACATTCCAACTGGAAACATTGGCGAATTATTATTTCAGTAGCCTTCGTTTGTGCTGCTATTCGAGAAACTCATCAAATGCAATTGTAGCAAATGAAATTTTTGAGGGAGTAAATTGGCTTACTGCGTATATAAATAAAAATATTATTATGCTCAGAAAACGTGTAAGATGTGATACGAATATGAAGGTAAAGTATTATTGTTATGGACTATAAGTCCAAAAATTATAAATAAATAAAATAGAATAGCGTTTTAATTGTATTACTTCTTATATATATAAAAAAACTAAATAAATCCATTTTGAACAGATTTGGCAAAATCAAATCAAAAAAATAATACTTGAAGGGAACTCAAGGAGAGGCAAATATGAACGCTTAAAAAAACGTAGAAGGGTAAATTATATAAATAACTATTATTATGTTACAATAAATAATATTTGCTTTAATAATTCTACGCAGCTTTGGGCGACAACATATAGGCGATCAAAGAGAAGAATTCGGCCATGTACAGCACCAGCTACTATTTTTTCTGTATGCCAATCAACTGAAACTGTCGAATTGTCAACTTCCAATGATCTTCTGCCTTTATCAACTCAATTGCCAAACAAAACTAATGTATTTTTACAGCAGTAACAAAATGGATCTACTGTGGCATTATAAATTCGGGACCTGGATTTTGTTTTTCTCCTCACCTCCAATATTTATGGATTGTACACAAAAAACACGTAATTCTTAGAGTAATTGAGTTTAATTTAGACTTATTTTGCTTAAAGCTATACTTAAGATGTAGAGCAGGGTATGAAGATGTGCCGTATTTGTTAAAGTGCTTTAGTTTTTCTTAATATATGAAACGATTATTATATGTTTCCATAAACATAAATACAATTAATATACATTTAGTAATTAAATACAAGCAGAGACAGACAGACACCCGTTAAAGTGCAGATAACCCTGTATCGTGCTTTTTTATAAAAATGAAAACAATAATTAAAAATATGGTATTCCACTTACAAAACCTTACTAAATTATAAACTGTAATGAAATAATTTCAATAAAAAATTTTTCCAAAATATTATTATTAAATTTTTTCAAAAAGTTTAACTAGATACCTTTTTTTGCTACAGCTTAAACAAATTTATCTATACTGAATTTATTTATTGACTTTTTCTCTTAAAAATTTACAATATATAATTTAATATTTAAACTACTACTTACGACTACATCACAAAGATACACTAGGAGTAGAGAATCACAAACCACCTATAATAAATAATTATTATTTTTCGGGTCGAAAAGAGGAGAAAATGGATGTAACAATAATATTATATGCACGAGTATATAGATTTTCAACGTATTTTTAATTTTTACGAATTCTGACTTCCTCATAAATACTTGAAGATCAATGTAGATTTTTTCCTTTTTGATAAACCCTAGTGAGCTAGAGCTTACCCTGAATATATTCAACTATTGCATTTTATCTGCTTGTGTTAATACTTATTCGTAATAATAGCTTACTTTAAAACGACCTATTTTTAATCTTAGGACATTTATAATTATTCATTCTTATGATATTATTAATATATGGACTTGATAATTGGAATAAGTTGTTCGTTTTGAGATTAATGTCGCAATGTTTCAGCTTTTATGCTAATTCTAACAGAAGATTCTATTTAGTCGTCGAAGCATTAGGAAACTATATTTCTTTGTGGTTTCTGTACTTGAACGGAATTAACAACACAGAGGCTATATTTAAATTTGAAAATTATTTATTTATTGTTCTGTTTATTTCCTTAATCAGAAAACTAGAAACTTCTTCCGGAAATATAATTTTCTTACTAAAATTTTTCTAATTTTGTATTGTTAATATATTCGAATTGAAATCAAGCTTGCTGTGATGAATGAGAATGTCGACGGCTACATATATATGAGTTTATTTAAATTAAAACTGTATTATAAAGTTTTTATTACAGTTTTTGTTAATAATTATTATAAAAGTTTTGATCGAATTTATTATCTCACAAAGACAATTAAAGATATTTTTTTATGACTATCTAAAATAGTTGTTTAAACATTTAATAAGTTGACTTTATTAAATAATTTCAATTTTATTTGTCTTATTTTAATTTTTTCAAACATAAAAACTTGACTGTCTTCATAATAACTAATACATTTTAACTCTTAATATTAATTAAAGTTTGATATATTTTTATTATATTTTCGTTAAAATAAAAATATTGAAATATTTGAATAATAACATAGTATTAAAAAAAAATATGAAGCTCACTTTTGTTTAATTTTGATTTTTGATATATTTTTATTATATTTTATAGCATAAAGAGTACAGGAGAGTACAATTAATTTTACTGGAAAAAAAGTGAAAAAAATGAATAAATTAAATGTTTTGGATTTGCATATAAAAAAAGTTACGAGCTCACCCACCATCGGAGTCAACACAGCAACCGCACTGGTCATCTCCTGGACATGTTTAAATCTTAATCACTTGCGCTGAGCTATCAGAAATTAGTAACCGGATTAAACAGTCGTGCGAATTTCGCATCAATTCCACACCTGTGCAGGACAATTTCCAATTACGATTTCATGTTTCATGTTACGGTCTGTGGCTGCAGATTGACATTGATGCTGAGGCGATGGACTATAGTCGTGGTGGTGGTGGTGATGGTGTTACAGTCCCATTATGCTTTGGCTAACTTAAGTAGCTGTCACAATTCCTTCAGTAGACGGTACAGTAACCTTGCCAGAGCGATACAACTAAATAACTGCAGAAGGGTTAACAAACTTGTTTATGTCTTCATGGTTGTGTGCGCTTATTTACATTTATCGGTTTTATTTTATCTTTACATATGGAAAACGCGAAAGTGCACTCAGAAAATTAACTGCTTCGCTGCACTTACAAAATGTATTTTTGCTGCCCTTTGCAGTGAAGAGAAACTCTTTTGGAAGTTTCCCTTCGCCTATATACTCGTATCCGCTTAACGAAAATGCGTATTTTACGCTTACGCATGACATCATTTCACATGAACAAGAATATGTGCAGTTCGGATCGAAGTTCGAATTGCTTTTACAACTCAACAGACTTAAAACAACAGACCATTTCTAAAATCATAAAATAATACTAATTTTAGTTCATTTTGTAGTATTTTAGTTCTGTACTCTTTCATAACTACAGCGCTATTGAAACGTGAGTATTTTTAATTGATATGTAACGGATTTCTAATGCATAAATGCACTGTATATAGTGTTTAAAAGGCCTCGACGTATTGTGTAATTTTTATTTTGACGACACAACACATAAATGGCGAATGAATGTACCGTTTGGCTGGAATATCTCTTTAGAAAACCTGACATTTGGTGTGAAATAGAAAAATAAATGACAAAAGAAAAAATAAAAACATAATATTATTGTGTTTAACAACAGGGAAAAGTCAATCGGGAATAAATAAGATTCCCAAAGAAGAAATATTCATTTGTATCTGCACTTTATTTAGATTGAATACATTGCGAATGGTAATGTAAGATGCATAAATGAAGCTTTTAATTAAAAAACATACGAGTTATATCGCAAGAATATTTTGAAGAAGTTTAAATAAATTAAAGTTAAATTTAACGTCTGTTAAAACAAAAAAAAATTAAATTACGTAAAAACTAACTTTGGATTTGTTATAGTACCCTTCACGCAAATAGTAATGTCATGAATGATTTGTCAGAATCGGATAATGTTCTGATAATTAAAGGCAGGTAACAGTGATTTTGATGCGCTTAATTTAATCATTTTTAAAACAATGATTAAAAAAGATTTTTGTGATTGGATTAAATATTTTTTTTTTCATGGGTAAAAATGCTGTTGAAGTCAAACGGTGGCACACAAACCGATGATGTGAAAACAATTGCCAAAGTTAAAAAAGATCGGAAAGAGATAGCTGCTACCTTGAAGGTATCAAAAAATGGTGTTTTTAAAATTTATCACAAAAATGTTGTCATCCGTATGGTGGTTTTGAAGTGAGTGCCGCGTTTGTTTACATTAAACTACAAACATTGTTACAATCCAATAAAAATGATGATTAAATAAAATATCTTACGCTTCGACTCGCTTTTCACTGTACTCTCCAAATCTGACACTCAGCGACTATTGGTTCTCAAAAAATTAGAGAAACGTTGAAATGAGTAAATCAAGATAGTAAAATCTACACTGAGCAAAAAATCAACACAGGCAATATTAATAGACAGTAAATTATTACTATACTTAGTAGTTCCAAAACAAATGCTTGCCAATTAGACTTGTAGGAGCACTGCAACAGTAACTTATCAAAAATTTATGGCGTTGTCACAAATGACTTACGTTATATCACAAAGAGATCGTGATCTGAAAACTTCTACAGTTTTACAGGATACTGTATTTTAAAATATGCTGAATTATACAATCTGAGACTTCTAAACCATCTAAACCTCCATATATTCTAAGTCACATCATATCTAACAATTTTTCACAAGAGAAAGTCCACAGCAGATCTTCACCATTAATAGCACAAAGTCAGTATACCAAAATCTAAGATATTATGAAGAATCGAAAAATTATTCTACTTTTTTGATGATATTTATCCATTATGGTGTATTTCTTACTCTTCTCCAGTGTTTTTTGCATCAATTTATATGTCAAAATATAAAGAAGTCAAAAGTAGTGTCATATTTGATCCTATTTATGAAAAGGAAAAGTCTGAAAAGTCATATTTTTAAGATCAGCAGTCCAAAATCTATTAAAAATTATCATCAGCGGCTCATGTTAAAAAATTATCACAAATTTATTAACTAGTGTAATAGTTGATAAATTACGAGGTAAAGAAAAGCTGAAATCAAAAACAAATAAATTGTTAGTAAAATGTAAGGTGAAATTCTTACCTCCCACATCACTACCAATTGTTTCCATTTTTGTTGTTGAATTTTGATCTTTGTAACTATCTTCCTGGCCTAAAAAATTATGATTAAAACTGAAGTACACTTAGAAGTGTTGCTATGATTCGATAATAGAAGTGGTTTTCGGAAACAGCAAGTTGCTGGCCTATACTGGCCGAAATGTACGCAAAACAACAACACTATTTTCGCTACCTCGGCCAGCAAAAGAAAAGTGTTAACAACGCAATAAGCGAAATATTGTGAACCTTCATTGGAAATTATTAAAACAACTCTAGTCAATTATGTTCTACAAAACCATTAGGTCACGGGTGACTCATTGTACTGGAGTCATGTTGGAAGCATAAGTAGACCGCCAGTACGGACACTTCTTCTATGGAGATGTTGAACACCATTGGAATTACTTTGTAAGTTTAATGTGATGTATTAGTGATATATAACTACTAAGATGAATAAATAGAGATGCAATAAGGAAGTGTTGAACACAGAATAGTTCAAAGAAAAGACTTTTACCACTAACAGGATAAATTTCAAGGCTTCGCTAGCTAGGGCCAGTAGAAAAACTTTAACGACTCATTCTATTGTTCTGCTTTAGCTATAGTCACAGCAGAACCAGTGAAATTTGTTTTTTTCATCTAACCACAATTTTCCTGCTTACTCATAAATAAAGCCACTTGCCTTTAATAAGAAAATGTGATCAATAAGAC